CTCATGGTCACGGTATTAATTTATTGATTTTCAGGAGTGCGCTAGAATCGCCAAAGGAAGGGCTACAAAACTATATCAAGACTCTGTTTCTAACTACTACCAGTATGATATCCAAACCATCTGAACACAATTTACCGCCTCATTTTTTTCAACAAAATAATCGAAAAATGTAAATTTTTGTAGTATTTTGATAGAAAATCTATTTTTTAACGTAGGAGAAAAAAAGCAATTCTTTGAAAACGTTTGACTAAACCTTTATGAAAGTAGTTAGCAGAATCTTTCTATGTATGGTTCGATGTGTTTTCAACGGTGAAAACCGTAGATCTCTATCTTGTTCCTATCAAAAGTTATTCAAAAAATGTCCACAGCCATTTAACTCTGAAATGAACATTAGTTTCAATCATTTCAAAATACTGCAATTATCATTTGAAAAATATCTTCTTCGAAATAAATACTCACTTTGAAGTATCATTTATAAACAAAAAAAAATATCTCCTATCAAATCAAGTTGAGAAATTTAAAAATTTCAGGTGATTCATCTGATCGTCTTCTTCAAGCTGCTGATCGTGATGTTAGTCCAAATGAAATTGTTCGATCATCATTAACACCACAATTTCAATTTCAATTAACACTTTCAACACCACCACCAATAACATGTTCATATATACTTGATTATGAACAAGCTCGTCAAGTATTTCTATTTGCAATGGATAAAATAAATTCATCTAAATCTTATTATATTCTTGATGGTTTTGTAACTGATCATGTTGAATTATGTCAAGATACAAGTCAATTATATTCAAAATTAATATTTTTTGAATCAAATATTGATCGTAAATGTAAAATGCATAAACGTCGTATTGATATATTATCATCATTATGTAAAGAAATAAGTGAAGAACATTATTTATATTTAGTACGTCAATTACTTTTTGAATTAGGTGAATGTTATTCAATGTTACTTGATCTTAAATTAGAACAAAAATATGATTTAAATTCATCTAAAACAATAGAAAAAATTTCACATTTAATTCAATTAGGTATTTCAACATTTGAACATTTTCTTTTAACAATGAATGATAAAAAAACAAATGAAAAACCTGAAAATTATGCTGATGAATATGTTCGATCTGTTTTATTAGCATATTTTTATATTGGAAGATTTCATTCAAAATCTATTCATGATCGTATTGAACATATTCAACAAAGTTTAAATCAATATAAAATTATTGTTGATTATGTTGATAAACATCCAAATGTACTTGAATATATCGAACAAGAATATAATATTTGTAAAGAAATGATTAATTTATTACCATTAAAACTTGAAAAATTACGACAAATTAAATAAAATCTTTCTTTTGTTTTATTCTAGATAAAAATTTTTTTTTAATTATATAAATTTTTCATTCTATGAAAGAAAATACTATATATATATATACATTAGTAGTCTAATATGTAAGACCAATTTTGTTGTGAATGTTTTTTTTTTTTTCGACAAAATTAAGTGTTTAATGCAAATACAAATAGTTGTTTAAATAATCAATGAAGTTCTCTATCAAATGAATTCCATACTGAAATTTCATTTGATGAACTATGAGAAAATTAGTTTTGAACAACATCATGTTAAAGCACACAAAATTCTGAATACAATCAAAAATTGTCGCATTTCCTACGACTTTCCTTTAAAATGTTATAGGCGTCACAGAAAAAAAATTTTTTTCTTTTTTAGCAATGCTATGATCTATTCAGGATTTTGTGCTCTTTCAATTGGTACTATCAAAAAAAAAATAATTTTCACACAGTATTTCTGAACTTGGAAACTACCATTTTTCGTATTTCAAAAACCTTTCTCTCACAATCCATCTATGAAAATTAGATAAGGAATATATTTGATAGAGATTTTCATTGGCTACTCAAACAATTATTTGAACTTACATTAACTGCTTAATATCATAGAAAAATAATCAAATATACATTGATCTTATATTTCTGACTGGTATTATAATTAACCCTTTCCAGCCGGCTCCCAGAAGGCAGACAGCAAGAAAATATTGTCTTGCATATTTTTTGTTGCTCCATCACAGTGATACCAAAAATATATTTTTCAGAATAAAAAAAATTCTTTTTGTATCCAATGGCTACATGTTGCCATTTGGCAACACCCGGCCGTAACGGGTCAAATTAGTTGACGAATTTTTTTTCGATTTCGATTATAAAAATGCATTATTCAGTACCTCTTCGTTTATTAAAAACACTTAAACATGAAAAGAATTACTCAAGCATAGATAGAGCACCTCCATGCAGCTTTTTCAGAATTTAAATTTCCTTTTTAGTGACAAAACTCCAGTGCACGAGACTTACAGTTCTCCAAAAAGGACATAGAAAACAATAATTGGTTTGAATATGAATGTGCGTGTAGATAAATGAAAGACCTACACCAACGTCTGCATTTAACTCACAATGCACCTATTCTTGTTCGGTTATTACACTCTGAAGGCTAGGAAATTTGAATTTTGCCAC